AGCTTTTGGTGAAATGCCGTCTCATCTTTGGTGAAAGAAGCTGCTAAAACTGCCTAGTCCATTTCCTGTTGCTTAGCATGCTCTTTTTGACTCTCGTCTGTCTGCGTGTGTGGTACTAATTAAAATGTAATACATTTGGAATCTCATCAGTTGTGTTTCCAAATAAATGCTTTATAGATTAATACAATCTCTGTCTATTTTACAGCTAGCAATGGAAAGAACTGTTTTAAAATTTGGCACCTACCATTTTAAATAAAGATATTAATTTGTTTCAAACTCTAGCTGAACAGAGAAGAAATAGATTTCATTAATGCCACATTCAAAAATGCACTGTTAGATCTAAACTGTTGTATTACTTCAGGCTTCACAATATCAACTTAATTTATTTTTTGACCAAACATCTACTAAGAATAGTATTTGTTTGGTGCAGACAGAACTTGTGATACATCAATAGGAAGAGATACAACCTGTTGTTGATTTATTTTTATTTTATTTATTTATTTATTTTATATCCTGCTTATCTGGTCTTGCAACCACTCTAGGCGGCTTCCAAACAGATAAAAAACAACATATAAATCTAACAAAATGTAGATATTAAACAGTGTCCCGGTTTGCTAAGCACTGGAAGAAAAGACAGAGAGGAAGCAGAATAGAAACGTATTGAAAAAGCTTAGCTGAACTACGAGATTCATACAAAAATAGAAGGGATCCAATAAAAGTCTGATAATTTTTTTAAAACTACAAATAAGAAATCAGTGTTTTGCATTTTTACTATAAGAGAGTAAACTTCTATTGAAACAGAAATAACTGCCTAATCCAATTGAACTCCACTGCTTTGCAATAGTTATTTTTTGTTGAGATGGGAGAAAAGCCATGCCAGTCCTCTTGAGGTGGTATAATCACAAAACTGGAGTCAATGATGTAGGCAAAGTGCTAGGTTATTTTCTGTATTATGTTAGGCGAACCAGTAGATACTGTCTATCTGGATTTTCAGAAGGCGTTTGGTGCAGTCCCTCACCAAAGGCTGCTGAGAAAACTCCACAGTCAGGGGATAAGAGGACACAATCAGTCATATTGTTTATGAAACAAGCCAAAGAGTTTTTCAATTCCATTCAGTAAGCAGGTCATTTCACAGGTCAGTACTCCAGTCCATTTATTTATTTATTTATTTATTTATTTGATTTTTACCCCGCCCCTCTAGACCATGTCTACTCTATATATGTAGGATGCACTGATCTACCGTATTTTTCGCTCCATAAGACGCACCTTTCCATAAGACGCACCAATTTTTTAGGAGAAGAAAACAGGAAAATATAATCTGTTTTCTTAGCTCCATAAGACGCACAGACTTTCCACACCCCTGTTTTGTGGGAAAAAAGTGAGTCTTATGGTGCAAAAAATACAGTATGTGTCTACAGGCCTTTTGCTCAGTGTACACTTTGGTGGTGAGAGATGAAAAGGGGAGGTAAAGGAGGACTTGGAGATTGCAGAGAAATTAAATGAGTTCTTCGCATCTGTCTTCACAACAGAAGATCTTGGGCAGATCCCGCTGCCCAAATGGCCCCTCCCGACTAATGAATTAGATATTTCTTAGCTCCATAAGACGCACAGACTTTCCACACCCCTGTTTTGTGGGAAAAAAGTGAGTCTTATGGTGCAAAAAATACAGTATGTGTCTACAGGCCTTTTGCTCAGTGTACACTTTGGTGGTGAGAGATGAAAAGGGGAGGTAAAGGAGGACTTGGAGATTGCAGAGAAATTAAATGAGTTCTTCGCATCTGTCTTCACAACAGAAGATCTTGGGCAGATCCCCCTGCCCGAATGGCCCCTCCCGACTAATGAATTAAATTAGATACAGGTTAAAACAGAGGATGTTTTAGACATAATCAATAAATTGGGGGATCAGTAAGTCACCAGGCCCAGATGGCATCCACCCAAGGGTTATTAAGGAACTGAGGAATGAAGTTGCTGATCTTTTAATATACAACTTGTCCCTCAAAACGGCCACAGGACTGGAGGGTAGCACATGTCACATCAGTCTTTAAAAGGGGAAGCGGGGATGTCCCTCAAAACGGCCACAGGACTGGAGGCTAGCACATGTCACGTCAATCTTTAAAAGGGGAAGGGGGAAAACCCGGGAAACTACAGGCCGGTTAGCCTAACGTCTGTTCCAGGGAAGATGGTGGAAAGCCTCACCCAAGATAAAATCTTAAAACATACAGAAGAACAAGCCTTGCTGAAGGAAAATCAGCATGGCTTCTGTAAGGGCAAGTCTTGCCTCACAAGCCTTTTCAAATTCTTTGAAAAGGTCAGCAGGCATGTGGAAGTGGGCAGACCAGTGGATATCGTATATCTGGATTTTCAGAAGACGTTTGACGCGGTCCATCACCAAAGGCTGTTGAGAAACCTCCACAGTCAGAGGATAAGAGGGCAGGTCCTGTTATGGATGGAGAATTGGTTGAGAACCAGGAAACAGAGTAGGTGTCAATGGACAATTTTCACAATGGAGAGAGGTGTTCTGTGTGAGCTTTGATTCTCTTATTTTCTTCTTGAACGTTTGTTCTCTCAGTTCTCTTTCTCTTCACTTACTCTGAGGTCTAGACCTCACTACTTTACATTTTCTCTTCTGATTTTCTCACCTGAATTTTCCTGGATCAGTTTTTTTTCTAAATCTTCAGGAACCTGTTCTTTGGAATAGGTAGCTGTATGTCTTTCTTTGTTCTCAGACCAAAGACTACTAAATGGCTTGGGAACATGGTGAGCTTTTAGTAGAGGGCTGTTGGAAAATAAATGGCAGTGGGAGGTATAATGTTTTATGAAGGGCAAACTAGGACTTAATGTTTGCATAGAGATAATTTCATTTGATACTTTAATCCAGACTATTCTGCATCACACTTTTCATCATTTTATTGTATTGTGTTAGAAATGTATTGATTAAATTTTCTTACGATTTCTTTTATACTGTGCCTTCAATTTCGGTGGTTGCAGTTTTACTTTCCCAGTCATTTCAGTAGGGAAAAACTGGATCCTTGGTAGGATATGTTATTAAAAAATGGTGAAACACTACAGGCAGGTTGGCCCCATAGTTATTGAGCGATATATGTGCTGGGAACACTTTGCTTTTAAATGCTTTGTTTGCCCATCCATTAGTCAAACAAAAGTTTGGCCCTTGAACCCACTTTTATGCACCCTGATCACCAACACGAAAGTCCAGTAGAATTGTTCTAAAATGGTATCTCAGCTGTGAGTCTACTACATATATAGAAGGAACCTACCCACAGAGTGGGAAAGCATTACAGTTATACTCTGATGTCCCCTGGGCAATAGTGTCCAGTTGGCCAGTCCTTCACTTCCAGAAGCACTGCACTGTGAACTTGCCGATTTGTGATACTCAAATCTGATGCAAAAACTCTGATCAAGGAAAGTCTGGGATTGCTAAAAATTGTCATACAGATATTTGGAACAGCTGCTTGGGTCCATAGCAACCCTGCTGGTGGGGAATTAAGCTCTGTTAACTCCCCCCCCCCGGAAGGAATATGCCATATGATTCACTAAAAAGATGGGCACTATTTATCACTCTTGCAAGTAACTGTTAACTAAATCAATAGGATCTGACATGATTATGTTGTCATGCCTCTTTCTACATATTAACTAGAGGGTTTCAGCTCAACCACATTTTCAGATGAGGATTGAAAAATGAGTACAAACCATAATCAGTAGATAACCTTATCAGTAATTAGCATGTGTGTGTGTGTTTATGTCTCTGTGTGTATGTATATGTGTATATACACCAACAAAAGAGATTCCCAGGCAAATCAAACAGGCCTGCAAGGAATCTTACACACCTTGAAAATGTAATAAGCTTGTGGTGTTAAGAACAAAGCGATTCCCAGTGGGGTGTAGTAGATAGAGTGACGGACTAAGGCTCTGGACCTTGAGAGCCCTATTATGGTTGCCGTAAGTCGATTCCGACTTAATGGTACATTTGACGATACATGTTGGTACATAACACATTAAGAACAGTGTCTGCTTCAGCAACTGCACATGATTAACTGTACTACTGTTCTATAGAAGACCAAGAATATAGGAGTTTGAAATTATTTTTAAACTAAACGTGGGACTTTCAGATCAGCTACTATGTGATTGTTAAAATGCCAGGAATCCAGAATACAAATTGGCACAGGACTGCAAGTGCTCATGTCTGAACATTTTTTCTTAAAAAGAGGCATGACACTATAGTACCATCATTTCCTATTAATGTTGTTAATTGGTGCTTGTGTTAGAAATTATTCCTGTCTTTACAGTACATCATAAAATCATTTTTAAAAAATCAATTACTGAGCTTAGAGTTTAAAAAGTTCCTTCCTTTGCTGGTTGTGAAAAACAGCAAAATATTGTATCAGTCTGTAAAGCATTTATTGAAAACCAAGGGTGGCAAATTTATGTTAATTCTTTTCATATCTCTTCTGTAACGAACGTTTCAGATGCTCAAGTATTTAAGGGTTGTATGCTTTGTCATATGCTGGTTCCCTGTTATTCTTGCGGTATGATTTCTTCACTTCAAAATGAGGGGAAAATCAATTTATGACATCCAGAAAATTAAAGTAGCTTCATTTTGGTTGCTTAGGTTATAGTAAATAGATAGCACAGAATAGCATGGTTTAAAGAGATAAATGTCAGGAGCGGTTTCTAAAGTAGACATTCAGACTTTTGGATTAATGGGATAGAAGGCCAATAATTGCATGGATTTCAGTAAGCTGGAAAGAGATGGCATTCCTGTGGTGCTGCGGTGATTATTACAACATTTTGAATTCATTGTAACGATGCTGTGCCTTAAGTTCAGTGTTTGCTACTACAGTGGTGGAAGATAGTCAATTTATAAAGATTATAAAAAGGTGCATTGACCTTCTTTAAAAATACGTATATTTTCTGAATGGTGTGCAAGATAAATGCTTCAAGAGCGATTTAGCCTTAATGACTTGGTTCCCTGCACTTTTTAGGGTCCTCCCGATTTTCAGCAGAACGCTCCTGGCCCTGTACCTACCAGCTTCAATCAAGCCCCCAGACTCTCCCTGCAGGATCAGTGGAGAGGGCCCCCACCTCCTTTGCCCCCACCGCCTCCGCAGGACAGAGAGCCGTTCTTCATGGGAGGTAAGCTCCTCACACCGCCAGGTCTCAGCAGAGGGCACCGATAGACCTTAGCGTAAACCAAAGAATTGGAATGTTTTTCTTGGCCAGTCTGGAAGGAGAGGAGTCCAGCTATCTGGAGATCCGTGTTTACTGATTAGACACAAATTCTTAAGGTAGTATAGCTCTTGATTTAGGTCTCACCTGTAAACAATCAATGCTGTGTTTGTCATTATTGTTTCTGTTGTTGCTGAGAAATTATATCAGGAGAAATTGTGAAAAAGGGTGAACCTGAGCCTGAGAATAAGCTAAATATGAGGATAAGCTTAAGTGTGCTGTTGACAAAAATAGTGAAGCTTTCACAAGTACATTAAGCATATTCCCATATAACTTATGGAATTTAAATTCTAAATTTGTGGCTTCTAAATATATTTGTGTGGTTAGTTAATGATGATGACTGCTTCCAAATGAAATGAAATGAAATGGAAGCCCTAACTGAAAATCCCCTCTTTCTGAATTCCACTGAACTGATGCTTTGATTACAGAGATTACCTAATTGTGTGGTGTTGACTAGTTACCGACTGAGAACGTGAGCTGTGGTCTTACTTTGAAATCGGTACCTGGGTTGTTAATCTGGGGCCTAGTGGGCCACTCTGGACCGAGCAGATCTCTCTCCAGTCACCCAGGACTCATAGGGTGGCACTATAATCAAAGCTTTCCTTTTCAGGAACACCTGGACAGTCTAAGCAGCTGTGGTAGGTAGGATTCAAAGCACATACAGCAGCATGCATGCCTTGGATGCAAAATGTCCCAGCTTCAGCACTGGCATCCATGTGAAAATATCAGGAAGATGGTGAATAGATCTCTTCCTGCAGCCCTGGGGATGCGCTGGCAGTCAGAGTAGACAAAACTAGACTATGTGGACAAATAATGCTGCCTATTGATGACAGCTAGGTAGCTTTTATCTATGGTGAAAGGGGAAGGCAGGTCAATGCCCTAAAATTTGGTTTACACAAGCAGGTTGGTGTCATTAATGCTTCTGATTTTTTTTTAACAGAGCCAAGATTTCCCAACCACCACCTGTTTGAGCAGCGGAGCCCCCCTCCACCACCACCGCCGCCGCTTCTCAACAATACCCATCCTGTTCCCAGCCCAAATCCTCTTGCTTTCAACCAGCCCGGACCGGGTTTTAATCAGCAGGGCCAACAGCCCATATTTCCTAGGGAGAGGATGGTGAGGCCGAACCTTCAGCCGCAGGGCCCAGTGGGCGTCCTTCACTTCAGCCAACCCGGAGCCGCAAATGCACGGCCCTTCCTCCCTCCCAGGCAGTCCTTCCTGCAGCTCCCGGGGCAGCCATTTTTAACAACGCTCACCCAGCCCAACATGCAGGTATGAAACCAGAGAGAGCATTTGGAAAGGTTCTGCAAGAGTGGTTAATCCTTAGCATCCAATTCCTGCCATTTTGTGAGCTTCGTTATTTGGTCAGTGGTAGATACGGGCATGAACCTCTGGCTTGAATGATTCATGCCGGTTCATTTGATATCCAAACAGATCCTTGGTGCTTCCCAGTCTTGTGGACGCACACTCTATGGGACACTGCCTCTGAGTGGGTGCACCAGAGGAGATGGGATTGGGAAGCACCAGACACCTGTTTGGACAAAAAACGAACTGCTGAAGCAGTCGTTTGTGCCATATATACATTATCTCTGCTATCCCTCAATTGCTGTAAAAAGGATGATATTTGTGTTTTCTAAAGCATTGTGTTTTCTAAAGCATTGGAATGCATGCCCTGTTTTTTTTCGTTTTTTTCGTTTTTGCAGTGCCTCTTTAATCTCCAGCCCTCAAGGAGACCTCAAATGGCTCAGCAGCTTCAGGTGAAGGAGCGCACCCCCCACTCCCCAAATCAGCCTTTCTGGCTCTGCTCCTGTGATCCTTTGTGCAAGATGTTTGCCTTCACCCTTGGCCATTCTTACAGAGCTTCAATCCCCCATCCCACCCTTTTTTTTCCTTTAGCAGAACGTTGTGTAAACCTTTGAAAAACTGAACCTCAATTTGAGAAGCCGAATTAAAATGTTTAATGTTTGGATTGATGTTGCAAATATAGATGAAATTTAAATGTGCCTTTATTGCTGTGCCAAGCATGAAAACATGTTTTCCCTTGTGCCTGGTGCTAATTGAATTAGGAGGGTTAGTGGCAACTTTATATCAGCATAGTGGTTCAAAGTGAAGATATTAAACTGCTTTGATTTTTTTCCAAAGCTGTTCACAGCTAATGAGATTAGAAAAGTTTGTAATGTGACATTTTGTTCAATATTCCATGGTTTCCTAAATTGATTTACTCCAGAAGAAATATGAAAATAATCTATTGTTTAAAAACAAGTTTCCTGTATAGCGAATAGATGAAGTGTGCCTCTAGAAAACACACATTGGAGTCAACAACTAGGATTAGAGCACCCTCTGCTGGCACACTTGCTTTCCATGTGATGTTGCTAATAAATGTACAGATGCACCACACAAATACAGTGGATCCTCGACTTACAGACGGCTCCACTTACAGACTTTTTGAGTTACAGACTCCTGTGGCAGCAAAATTTAGATTTAACTTGCAGCCAGAGAATCGACCTACAGACCGGGAAAAAACCAAAATGGAACAAAACCGGAACAAAAACAGCCGGTTACTGATTAATCGGTTTTCAATGCATTGTAGGTCAATGGAGCCTTGACCTACAGACTTTTTGACCTGCAGCCACCGTTCCAATACGGATAAATTCCGTAAGTCGAGGGTCCACTGTACTTTCTCTGAACCTATTTTTTTTTAAAGTTTACACTTCAGTAATCATATAGAACATCCAGAGACACTCAGTTTTTAAGAAAATGAAGAGTGATATTGCCAAGTCTTTGGGTTTGAGTCCACATCTGAATCTTTGGTACTAATCCCAAGCCCCTATTAAAAATAACCCTTTTCCCTCCAGAAAAAAGGGAGGAGTAGGTGGGTCCTGAGTTCCAGGTTGAGTTGGAGTCATTTTTTTGGGGGGGGGGGAAGCAGTAGTATGGGCCAAGTATGAGCCAAGTCACTGGTGCAACTTATGTCCGACTTGACTGAAAGTCCCACGACCGAAGTCCCTATCCCTGAAAATAGAATTGTGTGGTGTTTTTAATACCAGCTGCTTTGCTAATACTGGTCATGGTGGCATGTGGCGTGTTGGTAGCTGACCTACAGAGGAGCCTTTGTGAACGGCAGTTTTCTTCGTTTCTGACATGTGTGTCTTCCCTTAACCATGAACAGGGTGCCTTGCATCCTCCTTTGCAGCAACACCAACACCAACAGCATCAGCAGCACCCGCCCCCGCCACCACAGCATCAGCAGCACCCGCAGCCTCAGCAGCAGCACCCGCAGCATCCCCAGCCACCCCAGCAGCATCACCAGCAACACCAGTCGCATCAGCAGCAGCATCACCTTCTTGCTGTGCCTCCCCAGCCTCTGATCCCGGTGGCCCCGTCCCAGTTCAGACCTCATATGCAAACATCACAGCAACAGCCAAGTGGCAACCGGATGCAGTGTCAGCAGCGGCAAGGTCTGGTAAAAGCCAGGCATGTAAGTGTAATTAAAATATAAGCCAGGGCATGTATTGGTTGAAGACAAAACTGCCTGGGAATTTGCAGTTTAAAATGAATCACTACTTGCCTGGCTTGCTCTTAGTTTTACCCTACTTTTTCCTCGTGTATGGAACAATGAGGGAGTAATTACCTTTTTACTTTGTTGACCTGAGTCTTCCCCATCCTGCACAGTGCTGTTATTCCCATTTCCAGTCTCCTGAGCTGTATTTGTTTGCCATATATTCCAGAGAGCAGGGCAGCATCCACAAGAAGTAGGGAATACATATGCAGTGGTTATGTCCAAGACTAATTTAATTCGTTCTGCGGTTAATGTTGTCTTGTGAAAAATTCGTCTTGCAAAACGTGTTTTCCCATAGGAATGCATTGAAATGTAATTAATGCGTTCCTATGGACAAAAAAAGTCAAATTTGGTTTACAAAGGGTTTATAAAGTGCTCTTTAAAGCCATACATATTGTAAAGATGATTTCAAAAATTTCAATCAAAAAACTTTTAACTTTTAAAACATAATAGAAAAACATTTAAAAATCGGCAAACCTGAGGCAGGAACAAAAAAATGGAAGCAAAAAAAAAAAAAAAGCAAAGTGTGCTGCATATATACCGCCCCATAGTGCTTCAAGCACTCCCTGGGTGGTTTACAAGTTAATTATGCAGGCTATACATTGCCTCCCCAGCGAGCTGGGTACTCATTTTACCGACCTCGGAAGGATAGAAGGCTGAGTCAACCTTGAGCCACTATCTGGGATTGAACCCCAGGTCGTGAGCACAGTTTTGGCTGCAGTACAGCAGTTTAACCACTGTGCCATGAGGCTGTTCATTCGTCTTGTGAAGCACGGACATAGGAACATTTGTCTTGCGAGTCATCAACCCCCATTGCCAAAACCATTTGTCTTGCGAGTTTTTTGGCCTGCGAGGCATTTGTCTTGCGAGGCACCACTGTACTTTGTATACAGTGATATTTAGCAGGGCTTTTTCGTATCTCCTATAGCTAATGTTTCTCCACACTAGCCCTTATCATTCTTCTCTACTAGAGAAGAGTCTTGATGTTGCCTGTGAGAAATACAGAGCAATCTTGTCAGCATAGAGCTGCACAAAGGAGCAGAGAATAAATTTTCTACCCATCCTGTCACAGTGTCTGTAATACTTTATTCATTCATTCATTCAACTCAGCAAGTCACCTGGTAGCCAGAACTCTCAAGATATCATATAATAATACAGTAGTAGCATGTTGCCAAGTTGATTCTAACTTACGGTGACTCTTTCTAGGGTTTTTGAGGTAGTGAATACATAGAAGTAGTTTACCATTCTTCTGGGGGCACCTTAGGATACTGCAGCTTGCACATTGATCACACTGGTTGGCTTTTCTCCCAGGAAGTACCATGGGGAATCAAACTCTCAACCTTTCGCTCTGCAGCTGAATACCTCAAACTGCTGAGCTATCTAGCCAGCTAGGTTTGTATACATAGATGAAACATAAGCTAAACAAAATGGCAGCAGTTACATAGAGATTAAAAGGTAGATAATTAAAGGCAGCATGTGCTTGAATTTCTTCTTCTTTTCCAAAAAAATATTCAGCCAGGAAGAAAAGGTTCTAAACCACATCTTTAAAATACAGCTAACAAAACAGCTAAAAAAGCTTGGCACTGAAGCCAACAAGATAGCCACTCAGTGGACTTCTGGGAATTTCCGTTCCATAAGGTGCTGGGAAGAGACTCATTGAGAAAAACTACTCATAGTAGCACCTGCTGAATCTCAGGGCAGGGCATTCAGAGCAGGGGCTTTGATGATCATTTCAGGGCTCAGGTCAGAGTAGGGGACCATGGCCCGCACATCTGAATATGTTCAGGCAAGTCCAATTAAGCCCAGAAACAAATCAGCAGCCGGGCCAGGTTATCACCATCCAAGGTTGTAGATGGCATGACACCCCTAAGTTGGACAAAGATGTTCTGCATTGTAGACATTCTTGTGATAGAGTTGAATCCTCAGTTACCCCTAGGTTGTGAATATGATTGCCTTACAGCTTCCCACAATCTGGCTCTGCCGAAGTATGTTTGAGTGCAATCTTGCCCTCGAATGCCAGCACATCCATTACCCATGCTGTTCCTAGATAGGAATTATAACTAGACATATCTGACAGTTTGGGGCATTCAGCTTTAGTGGGGCTCCATCTTGCTTGAATTAACTTGTTCACTGGCGCTTATCCCACTCCCTTACAACAACTAAGCACTTGCAAAGTACTTCTTTTATTTCACCTTGATCTGGTGTGTGTGTGTGTGGGGGGGTAAGGAGTTCTATATCTATATCATACTGGTGGTGTGCACTCTAAATCTCAGTGGTTTCATTTTGATGTTAAATAGAATGGGTACAAGACAGAATTTTGCAAAGACCCAAAGCAGAAGTACCAGATAGGCAGAGTAGAACATCTTTCAGCACCACTTCTGTGAAAGAGTGTTCCATATATGAGCACATCTTCATCCCACTAAAGACATTTCAGTGCTAATCCCAAGCGTAACTCTTGATTAGATTGGATCAAGAAAATTAGTTTCATCCTTGAGTGATTCTAGGTGTGAGGCACAACAAGGAAAAGGATTATACATTTGTTTATTGTTATCAGGATAATCTGCTTATCATGAGGTCTAGTTAAAATCACAAGGAGTCTTGTGGCACAGTAGTTGAACTGCGTTACTCTAGTGAAGACTCTGCTTACAAACTGAGTTTGATCCTGGGCTCAGGGAGCTGGCTTGAGTTGACTCAAGCTTCCATCCTTCTGCGGTCAGTAAATTGAGTATTCAGCTTGCTGAGGGGAGGGGCAATGTGTAGCCTGCATAATTACATCATAGACTGCCCTATTGGGTGGTATATAAGCAGCATACTTTGCTTTGCTTTTAGTCATTCTGCGCCCCCCCAGTTTTTTGCATTACCACCTCTAAGAAGGCTGCAGCTACTCTCTTAAGGAAATATTTATAACTTCTGGGACATAACTAGTTTCCTCATTCAACTAGAGGTACTCGGCTGTGAATGGCGAGGTTTAATGAAATACGTAGTTGTCCGCATGCCACTAAGCATGGTGTCTCTACCCTTGAGCCTCAGAATGTGAAAATCATCTTGTAATATCCAAACGGATAGTATTGTGAACACCTTCACAGTCTGAGTGGCACAAAGTGCAGAGTTTGAGTCATAACCGATAAGAGTGAGATTTTTCAACATGTCTAGCTTAAGGTTTGACAACATGTGTCACAGGGAGTGCCTCTCTTTGCTGCTGCCTGTGAAAGAAAGCATGGTTACCTTTGAAAACAGGGTATGCAGAGAACGTGCACCATGTTTTGAAAGGAAATCCTCTTTTGGCTTGCTGGCAGTGGGATATGACCCACAGTGGTTCTAGGAAAAGGGCAATTGGCCCCTGTCTCTACAGACATTAACCCACCATGTCTCGATTCACAAGGGGGCACCTCAATAATGGCCAGGCAAATGATTTTTTTCCCAGCTCTGCCTTGTATTCCTGATAGGTACTGCTTTAGCCATGTGATGCAAAGGTAGTCCTAGCCTTAGGGATTCATGGTCCAGACAAGACAGGCAAAAGTATGGAGGGGAAAAATGGTCTGTAAGCTGTGGTGCTAGAGTACAACAGGTCAATAGGCAGTGAAGGAAAGAAGAGGTTTTAGTCAAGGAGAGGTTTTCCATATGGGTTGTGTGGAAGGATTTTATATAAATGAGATTCAAGTTGTGAAGGACTCCATCATGACTGCTTAGGGAAGATCATGTCTGGAGGTAAGGTTGATTATATGCATCCATCTCTTGTCACCAGTCTTGTAACCTTCCAGGAAAAAAAACATTTGTTGCTTTTTCTTAGTTGTTTCTTCTCTGCTAGAAGTCATCAAATTGGTTACTACTAGTCTCTTTTTTAAAAAAAGTTTTTTTCTTCTTCTTGAGAGCTCTCAGCAGGTTGGGTCGATATCTTCACTTGTACAATATGAATTTACTGATGGTAGAAAGATACTTTTTCCTGACCCCCAGCCTGGTTATGAGTTGTGAGTCTTCCTTTGGAAAAGTCTCATTTTGCTTAGTTGATCCAGGCCTGTTTTTATAACCATTAGCATGTCAAAGAAGAATTAGATCTATAAATGTTACTGAAACAACTTTAAAAATATATAGAACATCAGGAGTAACACTAGTGTCATGTTTTGTTCTCTATGATATTTCAGCTGGGTTAACAGCTCGCAGATTGCATGTTTTTCCCAAAGCCTTTTTTTTTCCGGTAGCCTTCTGAAGCATCTACAAAAACCATGGAGTTGGGAAAAAATGTTTAAAGGAAGCACTTTGCTTCCTTTAAAAAGCTTGATGATATTGGTCACAAATGAGGAAAACCTGTTTAAAGCCAGTGGATGCTGGCCTTAAATGCCCCCCCTCCTGTTTGCTGCTGAATTTTGGCAGCAAGTACAGCCTGTGGTGGGTCGTGGGAGGACAGAGTGAGCCCGTGATCCTCCAAAGTCACCTCTCTCTATTGTAGTCGACATACTAAGAATTGAAAGTATAATTTTATTCCAAAACTCATTTTTTTCAGAACATGCCAAACCAAAACATGGCAAAGCGTCCAAACCAGCAGCTCCCACCACCTGCCCAAAGGAATAGTAACTTGCGTGAATTACCAATAGCACCATTGCATGCTATTGAGGCTGCGAACAACCGACGAACCTCAGCCCCTGCTGCTCAAGTGAAACCCATCACCAGCACCACCCCAGCTGTAAGGCCGGTTCCCAGCATCAGGAACCAACAGGGGAAGGTTGAAGCCAAACCTAGGGCTGTTACTCCCGTGGCACAGCAGCCTAAAGTGGAGGTTAAATCGGAGCCGGAGGTAAGAGGAAAAATCACTTTTGTAGCATGTAAGTCAGTGTCATTGTTCTCACTCAGCATTCTTGGTGGTTTGTATCCGTTTATGCATAGTGTGTACGTTTTAATTGAATGAACAGTGGGGGACAGGTGTCTTAATGAACTTTGGGAAACGTTGTTAGCAGCAGTTACTAAAAGATTTATAACCGGGATTTGGACTTCTGTCACATATATATTGAATATTTAAGCGTAATAATCTGTTCCATACCAGTAAAACCCATTCTGTCAATCCCATAATTAAAATAGTATCAGATCAGCTGAAATTGTGAGCAAATTAAATGGAAAAAAAGAAAAGGTTTATCATTTGTACAGATTGGAGGAAAATCCGATGGTGGGACATTCCACATATCAGGCCTTGTCAGTTCTAGAGTTTTGAATTGGACTCCCGTTCCCAGTTATCTCCACCTCCCCCGCACAACACACACCATGTATATTTAATTCCATCTCCTCATCTCTCTCCTCCCCCCACCTCAGCTGTCTTCACATTTTCCTTGGGTCATGCCTACCACATTGGGAAACAGTACTGTAAAAGATTAATCTGTGTTTCTCTTACTGATGGCTGTGATCATCAAATTATAGTAATAATGGGTTAGGATGCTAACCTCCTGTAAACTCAAAATATTACTCTCACCGGTAGAGTATGCTATTGGAGTTTAGGATGTTTACAAAATATAAGATGGCCGTCATTTTCATATGAACAACGTCATTTCTACTACATATGATGTCACTCCAAATTTGTTTATATTAATTCACTTCCACCTAAAACTAGCACACACATGAATGAATTTCTTCAAAGCAATGTTATCATTTCAATGACCTTGTTCTCAGGCAGGCTGGAAACAGCTTGTAGTTTCAAAATCAACAAAAAACAAGCTGTGCTTTTAAATCACACTCACTTTTTCTTGCACCCCCGTAATCATTTTAACATCTTATAAATTCAGATTTTCATTTCTTGCTGTACTGTTGCAGAGCAAGCAGCAAGTTATCATTCCAGAATGCCACAATTAAATCCACTTCCTCATAAAACCCATCAGTATCCACACTTGTATTCCTTTTGAGTCCTCAGATTATTGCCACAGAGAATTTAATTCGTCTTCTAGAGTGAAGCAAGCATGAGATAAAAAGTTTGGAAATTTTCTATGAGAGAACCTTTGGGGTGGAGAGGTGTATTCAAGTCCAGCCTTGAATACACCTCTCCACCAGGTGCCCTCTAGATGTGTTGGACTTTAGCTCCCATCATCCCCACTTACCATAGTCATACTATCTATATAAAAATATTAGGTGTAGTCAAACACATCTGGAGGGTGCCTGCTCTAGTTTGAGGGATTGGGAGGATGTCCTCCAGATATTATTTGACCGCATCTCCAAAGAGCCCTGAATAGTATAGTGGGCCTGAAAGAATTCTTAGCGCAACAGTATCAGGACAGCTACACATTCTCTATTCTTGCTATAATGTTTGTCCTTTTACTTCTTATATGTATCACCCACAGTACAGTAATAGGTTACCCAACAGAAACAAACAAAAAATAGGTTACTCCTCCATCTCTCATCTCTGTTCAGACCGGTTGTCTTTTCTGTCTTCCTGAAGTATTTTTACAACAGGACTATAAAACAAACATAGGCCTAATTAGTGCATGTAATCAATGAACATTTAGAATGTGAAGCTGATATTTCATATATTTTCATTTCATTCTGTCTCTTAATGTCTGATGAAGTGGACATGTCCACAAAAACTTACATTAAAATGTAGTGTTTAGTCTTTAAGATGTCACATGTTTTTGTCTTTTTTTTGTTTGGATTTTGCCTGATATGCCAACAAAAACAGTAGGCCTTCCATTTGAAGGTTTTTACAAAATTCTCTCATAGATATATTTAAGAAACATAAGGAGCTAAATTATTTGTGCTAAAGCCATAAAGTTTCATGGTACAGAAAGATTAAACTATTGTGTTACTTCAGATAGAGCTCAATCTGTTTTACTAGTAAAATGTGTGTCCTTTCAAAGCTTGCTAACTGAGGAGTGGCTCTAGAAAGCAGCTTTTCTGCTGATTCTTGTTAGCTCTCAAACCTTATAGGGATGTATTTTTCTGCCAGAGTTTTAGGTTTTCTGGAAAGGTTATTTGTCACACAAAAGGGTATAATACTTTCAGAAAAGCTTGAGGCTGGAATATTAAAGCCATTCCTGATATACCATTAATATTCCACCACTGCATTTGGCAACATTTTAATTCCGAAGAGAGTGCATGAGTTCAAGGTCAGAGAGATTGACTTGTGCTGTTCATTATAACCAATTATTGTGTGACAAATGAGTTTCAGATCAGGCTGAAAATTCTGTAAGAAAAATCAATAGTTCTAATCAGGGCCTTTCAGGTCATTTACCACCCTACCTTTTGTTAGTTTGTCAGAAAAGAGCAAGATAAAACCTGTGTGACACTGGGCTGCCTCTGTATTGTTGCTGCTTCCATTTGAAACAATATTTGAAGATCTTGAATTATATTAATAGTTTAATTGGTTTCAGCAACTTTTAAATGAGTTCTGAGCTTCAGTTTCAGCATTCAGATTTCTTATTTCTGTGAAGTCCAAAGTAGAGCTACATATTATTGGACTCTGTCTAGCTTGGTTAATTAATAACTAATAAACGTTTGCTGGTTGCCCGCTGTGATATATATACAGTGGTGCCTCGCACAGCGAGGTTAATCCGTTCCGGATTAACCCTCGCTGTGTGAAAGCATCGTTGAACGGGGCAAGAAAACCAATTGGAACGCATTAAACAGTGTTTAATGCGTTCCAATTGGGCTGAATACTCACCGTTCAACGATGTTTCCAGGCGGCTGGCAGCCATTTTCGCACCCTCCCCTCGCTGAATGAGGGCGTGAAAATGGCTGCGATCAGCTTTCTGACGGGTCCAAAATGACCGCCGGAACAGCCGAAATGGCCGGCCGCAGTGTTTTCGCGCCCTTGGTAAGTGAGGGGAGGGCACGAAAACGCTGCGCGCAGCCATTTCGGATGTTCTGGCAGCGTTTTCGCGCCCTCCCCTCGTTTACCAAGGGCGTGAAAACGCGCGGGGGTCACGTGGCGGCCATTTTGGACCCACCGACCACCTGATCGGCGGGTCGCAAAGCGAAGGTCGGTAAGCGAACTGCTTACCGACCTTCGCTCTGTGAATTGTGCCCTATCTAGGTGCCGTTTTGCGATCGCTTTTGCGATTGCAAAAACGGCACCGTTGCGCGGATTCGTCGCTCTACGGAGCGTCCATTCTGCGAGGCACCACTGTAAATGCCAATTTTTGCAAACCTATATAGGAGCTACTGCCCCATAACCTCTTTTTCCCACCCCTTCTTTGTTTTGTTGGTATGCCATAGTTCCCAGATGAAGATGAAGAGACCAGACTTTATCGCTTGAAGATAGAGGAGCAGAAGCGTCTGAGGGAAGAGATCCTGAAACAGAAGGAGCTCAGGCGGCAACTTCAGGCTGGGGCCCGAAAGAGAGAGTTGCTTGAAAGACTTGCTCAACAGCAGCAACAGCAGCAGCAGCAGCAGCAGCAACAACAACAACAACAACAACAACATCAACAACAACAACAACAACAACAGCATGGCCCTTCTAGGCAACAGCAGGAGGAGGACACTTCCTCATCATCCACCAATGGAAGCCCACTGCTGCCTCTTCCTGGTGCCCCACCCCGCCAAAATGTGAAATGCAGGCTAATGGTTAAAAAACAGGACTCAGTAGCTCCGAATCCACCCACTCCTCAGCTTAAGCCTGCAAACCTTCCACAGGCTGGAGATAATGCACAGTTTCAAGGACAGCAAATAAAAACAGTAAAGCAGCTAAGACAGACTAGGGCAATGCCTGAAAATGAACTCCAGCTGCCTTATAAAGGGTTTCAAATAAAGCCTGCTGGAACACACTTGAACCCATCTCAGATTGCTCGGGTGGCATCCGTACAAAGCCAACCTCAGGAACTGAAGCCTGGGGTGAAAAGAACTGTCATGCAGCGGGCAAACAGTGGTAGTGGAGATGGGCCCCATGTTGGCACCAAAGTCAGGGTGATTAAATTGTCAGGAGGGGTAAGTTACCAGGCTTGTCTGTCTGTCGTTTTTGTGTGGCTTGTTTGTGGTCTGCGTCTGTCTTATTGGTGCTGTTGGCAAAACCCAAAAGAAACTGACATTGGAAATAATAGATTTTGCAGAATTCACCTTTCAGATCTTTCCCTGCTGATTTTCAACTGGTGTAGTGGATAAGGGTATATGTAGCTATTTTTGTGACTCACCAGAACCCATAGATTGTACTTTTTCCTGCATTGGAATCTCAGGGGATACCAGTGGTACCCATTACAATATGTCATAAAGTGGCATGGCAAACACAGCCAACATGAAAGGCAGACCACAGGCTTATTACTTATTAGAAGGCAGCCATGCCTTGGTCTCATTTTGTGTCAAAATTAAAAACTTTGGGTATTAAACTATAATATTAAAAAGGGAACTGATAGCTGTAGTGGACAACCGATCAAACACGTCATGTGTTATGTTCAGAATAAAAGCTCACTCCTCGAGGAAGAAAGATTGTTGTCCAGAATCTAACAGGTAGATAATGACCAGAACATTGATTTCTGTTTAGCCAGGCTTAGGTGAAAATCTAAGAACTGTGTAAAAGTTTTAGGATGCAAATATAAGAAAAATGTTGGCAAATTGGAGAATAATCCCTATTTAAAGGAAGGGAACAAACTATATATACATTCCTTCTAGACCAACAGTGGTATACAAATAAAAGTAGTAAGTAATAAAAAGGAACAATTCACTGTGCACAGGATCTTGCAGGAGCAAAAGTTAAGAGATGAGTGTATCTAGTATATGCACAGAAAAAGAGATAGTTGAAATGCTAAAAAAAGACAAGGAACAGTCATTGTGTTTTGCTAGCAGGATGAAAAAATTGATGTAAGGGCAAGTCATCTTCCATCGCACCCTAAAGACAGAAATAGCAAGATTTTGTAAGTGAAAAATTGCTTAGCTGCTAATAGGAAAGGTATATATATCCAAGCTCCAGGAGTGACCACAGATGTTGGCGGTGTTACAGCACTCTAGATAGTTCCCAGGAAAGGTTTTAGTGAAGCAGCTAAGCCTTCTCCACATCCTCTACCTAGACATCATACAAAGCAGATTGGATTTGTTTTGTTTTTTTTCCAAAATATGCTTGGATTTTTTATTTCAATATTTTAAGTTTTGACTTTGGCAATTTAGTTTATGGGCCAAATTGGCATTTGATGAAACCAGTTGGCGAGTGAAGTAAGAGCAGAGTATCTGTTGCATCTATCTACCCAAGTAGCCAGTACCTCATGGACTGTTCTATAGGTCAATGCACAACTCTCAGTCCAGAATGCATATTGTAACTATCTTGTAGGGTAGAGAAAAGGGAGCAGACAGGGCTTCATAAAGAGATAATAGACTAGAGTTGAGGGTTTATCTCATTTACATACATTATCTTGAGTATGAACAGGCAGAGAATCCAATAGACACCTTTTGATGGCAGACACGGTCCCTAGCCCACTATTTGGCAAGACACACCTGTCAGTCTTCTGCCTAAAGGGACTTATCTAATCCTGCTGTAGAAATTTTGGGGGAAGATTTTTAAGACAGCTATCAAGGGCTGACCCTTCAGTAAAGACTTAACCAGCTCTGTGGATAATAAAGTGCCATGTTCTCTGTTTACTACTCAAAAGAGCTGCACTGTAAACACTTAGGAAATGGGTTAAATGGTTTAAAGTTTATTTTGGGGTGTGTGTGTGTATGTTTCTCATGGAAAAAAATAATTACTAATGCATTTCACTTTCTCTGCAATTATGGTTAAGCTGGTGGGATTCAGATGGGAAAGGTGTTTTAAGGTGTGGAGTGGTTATTTAAGATGCTGCTCCTTGCTCTAAATATGGCTTAATTATACCAGTAGTTCAGCAGCGTGAGTAAGAAGCTTAGATAGGCTGTAGAAATTATTTCCTTGGAGATTGTCATGCAAGGGCTGGACAAGCATTTGTGGGGCGGTTGATGTATGGAGAATGAAATATAGAGAGGTCTTATGCACAGCAGAGGTATCTGCATGAAATCTGATCTTCCTTCAAGGTTTTTTGGGGGGAGGGGGTTGGCTGCAGTGTTTACCACTGCTAAAGAGGCAAGTTGCTATTTAAATTGCAGATTGGCATGCCTCCTTGGCAGGGTGAGCTACCCTGGCAGAACTTCAAAGCGAGCTCTGGCTGTGTGCATGGTCCCGTTCTTCCCACACACAGAACTACGTTGGATCGAGGCCAAAGGTTCCTGCGTTAGTGTGGAGAGTATGAATAAATTCCAGCTCTAATTATAACAATCCTGTCAGGAATCCCTCTGGCATAAGGATTTGGAAAGGCTTATTTCCTTTATCGGCAGTAATACCTGTATCCTGTTCATTTTCACCTGTTCAGACTTGGTGGTTCTTTCAATCCTGTATGCCAGTACAAGACATTTTCAGAGCCAATTGCAATTCGCTAGTTGAACAGGTGCAGGCAGGCTTGTTTCTAACTTTGTCCCTGTTCACAGCAGGCAACTGGACATTTTACTGGGCAGATAAATTGTTAGAAGCCTGTCTGAGGGTGCTCTCGCTCACGGAGTGCTGTCCACATTTCCCTACTAGATCTGCTGGTGGTGAAACCCCCTCCTGTGCGCTTAGGATAAAAATTAAGAGAGTTGGCAGTAGAGGAGAGAAGCATTCATTTCTTCAGCATACTGTGCTTCTATTTTAAACCTTTCTTGCATGTCCAGCCTAGGAACATGGTGGAGTGTTGGCTAAGGTATGCCTTTAGTAACAGCAGTCCTGGTTTCTGTGTCTTGGATACACAGAAATGGAACTTCACTGCCTTGCCACATTAGGCACAGAAACGTCATTAAGCTGGAGACAAAGAGCGGGGATCTCATGTCTGTGCGACCATCCCACTGAACCTCTAAGCAAAAGGTTCAGATCAGGTGGCAGGAGTGACTCCATCTCTGCCAGTCAGCTGTGTTCCGTGTGCTAGAAATGCAAGAGGTAGAGCCTCTTCCTTTATGCTCAACACAAAAGCTGAGCCAGGTGGTAGAGAGGTTTCTGGTCTGCAAAATGTGCTCCTCATCTGGTTCTTGCTTGTAAAGGAGAGCTATTGAGAGGGCGATAATAGTAGCCAATTTACTGGAAAAAACAGGCAGTGGGCAGAATAAAAAAGACAGTCTGCAGACAAGTAACTTTTGTGAAATAGCATGCAACAGTTGGCTATGTCTGCATTAGTAATGGTTCAGTTTGAATATTTTCCAAAGGACCTTCTGTGAGTTCTTCTAACCTTCCAAGTAACAGAAGAGCAGTTTTCCTGTACAGACACTTACAGAGCAGCCTTTCCCTTTGCATGGTGGAATGTTTCGACCCCCTTCTCCCAAATTAGAGAAAACGGAAAAGTAAGCATAAAAACGGACATCAGAATACTTGATTAAATGTTCAGTAGTTTGTCAAATTGGTATAACTATGTTACTTTGTTCCACATGCTGCACAGAGAAAAGGGGGTGTTGTTGCCAACAGAGGAGGCAGACTGAGCTGTAAGTCTGCCAGAAGCATATGTGAGATAAAGATCATAGGTCTGCCTGGCCAGTTCTGAGTCTTGTGTACAGCAGCTGTGCTTGGTTCCTCTGTGCTGAATCTGTGTGTTCTTCCTTTATTTCAGTGATTTGATTTTCAGTGTGCTGCCCAAATATGTTCTTTGTCAGCTTTGTCATAATTTTGTTTAAACAATAAGTTGATTTTCCTGTGTTGCCACACTTTCTTCAATGTCCTTAACTACCAACCATTTAAAGATGTTCTGCTTTATTTTGATTCAGACCCTTTAACAAGAATAGCAGTGTTGGAGATGCTGAAGACATTATTCAGCACAGCTGCATTCTTCAGTCTTATGCACAGTTTACAGTAGACTGCAGTATTTGATAGTTAGAGCACGTTCTCTGATTACTGTTTTCAGAAGTGCACCGTCGTCATACAACTGACTTATCCATTGGAAGTGTACAGTATTCTATAATGCAAGCCTAATTCACATTCATTAGCTATGTAATTTTCCCAGCAATAGCACAGAATGTCAGGAGTTGCAGGCCTGAGGGATCTCTAGAGCAGCAGTTCCCAACCTTGTGCAGACCAGATGTTCTTGGACTGCAATTCCCAGAATTCTTCACCACCAGCTGTGCTGGCCAGGGTTTCTGGGAGTTGCAGTCCAAGAACACCTGGGTTACACAAGGTTGTGAACCCCTGTTGTAGAAAATAAATGTAGACACACCACTGGAAAAATGTGGAGGGGGGAAAAGAAAAAGAAGCAGCCATGCAAAAACAGAGAACTGCCACCCCCTCAAGTGCTGATTCTTTTCTAAATTGAGTTGTAGATAGTGTTTTTTGCCTTTATTTTCTTGTTTTTTAAATCTGGAATTTGAAGTCGTTTTTGATTTAAACAAATGTTTAAAAAATAATTTTCAGAGGTCCAAATGAGGGTGGTCGTGAAATTGTTCACCAAAAATCTCCACCCTGTTGCAGACTGTCAGGTGTGGCAATTGCATGCTGTTTCACTTATTGTCACAGGGAAGAACTTAACAACATGTTTGTATCATAGCATGGGTGAATGAGCACAGTACCTTTGTATTAGCTGATACAGTACGTGCAGGTGTTCAAGCAGCTTTTACGTAGCAGTCAGGTGTCTTGCTTCTTTGCAAAAATGAAAAATCATTTTCCTACTATGAAGATAGAAAATGTATGCAAATAGTTCTTTTAGCAGCCCTCCTACAGATCACTGAGCCATTGATCTGCAGGATGCTTTGAACATTTGATGCAGAAATGGAGAAGCTATCTTTTCTTGTACTGTGGACCCAGAGCAGAGTACACTACAGAGATTTAGCCAGAATACAGCGCCATGATATTTGCGTTTCTACCTGTTTGCTACAAATTCCTATTACAAAGGTTGAACTATGTAATCAGATTAATAAATGAACAACATCTAGTTATTTTAGGAAGAGTTCCCAAATAGATTCTGTTTTAGAAGAGAGGTTCC